CGTCGGTCTGCTCACCTGCGCGTGCGCGCCGCCGGTCGCTCCCGCCCGTACCCCACGTGCGCGCGCGCGCGCGCGCGTCTTCCCAGCTGCGCCAGAGGGGGCGCGGTCTGGAGCATTTGGTGAACATCCCGCGGCCGCCCGAGCTCTCGCGAGAGGAGCTGTAATCTCGGCGGGCCGGGGGAAGAGGGAGTGCCGGCGGTTTCCCACCCGAGGGTGCCTGCATTTTCTGTCTCGTGATGTTGCACCGGCAGCGCGGATTTGCTCTCCAGGAACCAATGAGTGCAACTCTTATGCCCACTTTCTGCACTTGGCGTGATCAGAGTGAAACACTTTCCTCCAAAAGGGTTTGTTTGGATTTTGGAATGATGCCTGCGAAGGGATGTCACGATGAGTCATTGACTCTGCCAGGAACTTGGGGAAATCAGTTCCCTCCGGACAGTTGGACAGGGTGGGGTTCGGACCGGCCAGCCCTGCTCAGATCCGAAACACTTTTTATTTGGGCAAAAATGAAAAAAAAAAAAAAGAAAGAAAGCATGCTCTCTGGAAAAACAGTCTTCTCTGGAGACCACATGCAAACTTAAATGTCAAAGAGACACCTCTGCCCGCTGAGTTGGAAAGCTTCAATTCCTGTGTGTGTGCGCATACATATATATGCATGATGGGATGGGCGCCTAGATGGAGACTGGAGCTGATTTTTTGTCTTTTTTTTTTTTTCCGTTTTTAATTGTGCCCGTCTTGGAGTTTGAACTCAGGGCTTGAGCTCTGTCCTTGAGCCTCTCAGGGCTCAAGGCACTCTACCACCTGAGCCACAGCGCCACTTCTGGCCCTTTCTGTTTGTGTGGTACTGAGGAATTGAGCCCAGACCTTTATGCATGCTAGGCAAGCACTTTACTACGAAGCCACATTCCCAGCCAGGAGCTGAATTGTTGTTTTGTTTTTATTTTAAAAAATTAACTAGGGAAAAAAGGAGTGATAGAGGGGTGAGATTGACTGGAATATGTTGTAATGTGGAAATGTAAATCTCCCCTTTATAGCTAATGTTAAGTAATTTAAAAAAAAAAAGACTACTCCAGAGGCTGAGATTTAAGGATCTCTATTCCAAACCAGCCCAAGCAGGAAAATCTTTGCGACTCATCTCCAATTAACCAGTGAAAAGCTAGAAGTGGAATTCTGGCTCAAGTGCCTTGGGCACAAAAGCTAAGGAAAATTGCAGAGTTCTGGAAAGAAAAAGAAAGAAAGAAAGGAAATAGAGAAAAAGAAAGAAAGAAGGAAAGAAAGAGAGAAAGAAAGCAAGAGAAAAGGGGCTGGGAAGGTGGCTCAGTGGTAGAGTACTTGCCCAGCATGCATGAGCCCCTGGGTTTGATTCCTCAGCACCACATAAGCAGAAAAAGCCAGAAGTGGCTCTTTGACTCAAATGGTAGAGCGCTAGCCTTGAGCTGAAGAGCTGAGGGACAGTGCCCAGGCCCAGAATTCAGGCCCCACGACTGGGCCCAAAAAAAAAAGAAAGAAAGAAAGGGGGAAAGAGAGAGAAAGAGCTGTTTTAGGTAGTGCAGACAACAAAGAAATAAGTTGAAATTTAGGAGAACTTAGTAGCCAGCCTTGCAAAATAAATGTGAAATAGGAGTTAGAGAATCTTCCTAGAAACACAACACAAGCAAAAGCAAGAAACTTTTGGGCTTTGGGTGCATGCCTGCTGCTCAGGAGGTGAAATAGGAGAATCACAAGTTCAAGGTCAGTCTGAGCAAAATTAGAGACCCTATCTCAAAAACCAGATAAGACAAAAGGGCTTGCCAGGTGCCAGTGGCTCACGCCTGTAATCCTAGCTACTCAGGAGGCTAAGATCTGAGGATCTCAGTTCAAAGCCAGCCCAGGCAGGACAGTCCATGAAACTCTTATCTCCAATAAATCACCAGAAAACTGAAGTGGTGCTGTAGCTCAAGTGGTAGAGCACTAGCCTTGAGCTGAAGAGCTGAGGGACAGCACCCAGGTCCAGAGTTCAAGCCCCACAACCGACAAAAAAAAAAAGACAAAAGGGTTGGGGTCAGAATACTTGACTATTGTTCATTTCTTTTTTGTTGTTAGGGTTCAGTTCCCAGGCCCACAGAAACAAAAAGAAAAAAAATTGAGTGGATTAGAAGACCACAAAAGGAGAGAATGCTAGGATTAGGGGCTGGAGTCGTACAGCTATTCTTTGGTGGGTGTGAATATTTTATTCTTTTGGAGAAGATTGTGTGCTGGTCTACATCTTAACAGGTTGGACTTATTCTACACTATTCAGTCCCAACACAACTAATAACTTCACCTCAAAGCCATTTATTTTATTTATTTATTTAAAATCTTTTTGCCAGTCCTGAGACTTGAACTCAGGGTCTGGGCACTGACCCTAAACTTCTTTTGCTCAAGGCAGTGCTCTTCCACTTGAGTCACAGTGCCACTTCCACCTTTTTCAATTTATGTGGAACTAAGGAATTGAACCTAGGGCTTCATGCCTACTAGGCAAGCCCTCTGATGTGAAGCCACATTCCCAGCCCCTTTATTTATTTTGCCACAAGGCTGTAATCTTAGCTGTACTCAAGAGGCTGAGATCTGAGGATCACCGTTCAAAGCCAGTCTGGGCAGAAAAGTCCCAACTAACCAGTTAAACACCAGAAGTGGTGCTGTGGCTCAAAGAGGTAGAGTGCTAACCTTGAGAAAAAATTGCTCAGGACAGCACCCAGGCCTTGAGTTCAAGCTCCATGACCAGAAAATAAATAAATAAATAATAATAAGCCAGGCATTGGTGGTTCACACCTGTAATCCTAGCTTCTCAGGAGGCTGAGATCTGAGGATCACGATTCAAAGCCAACCTAGGCAGGAAAAGTCCGTGAGACTCTTACCTCCCATAAACCACCAGAAAATTGGAAGTAGTGTTATAGCTCAAGTGGTACAGCTGAAGAGTTCAAGCCCATGACAGGCAAAAAAAAAAAACTACTGCATTCTTAGAGTGAAATATACATTAAAAAATCATTATGACCTTGGATTAGGCAACAGTATCTTATATATATATATATATATATATATATATATATATATATATATATATATATATATATCAAAGCATAAGAAGCAAAAGAAAACACAAATAGCCATCCTGGGCAGAAAAGTCCATGAGACTCTATCTCTAATAAACCACCATTATATATATATATATATATCAAAGCATAAGAAGCAAAAGAAAACACAAATAGCCATCCTGGGCAGGAAAGTCCATGAGACTCTATCTCTAATAAACCACCAGAAAACCAAAAATGGCACTGTGGCTCAAGAGCACTGCTTTGAGCTGAAGAGCTGAGGGACAGTGCCCAGGCCCAGAGTTCAAGTCCATGACTGACCAAAAAAAAAAAAGATACGCAGGATGGTAGCACACATCTGCAATCTCAGCATGAGACCTTGCCTCAAAAATTGAATAAAAACAAAAGCCTGTGCCAGTGGCTCACAGCTATTGTCCTAGCTCCTCAAAAGGTTGAGTTCTGAGGAGCCAGTTTGAAGCTATCTCCAAACAACCAGCAAAAACCCAGAAGTGGAGCTATAGGCCAAGTGCTAGAATGCTAGCCTTAAGTGGAAAAAGCTAAGCAAAAACATAAGGTCCTGATTTCAAGCCCTAGTACTCACACACACACACACACCACATACAGAAACACACACAATATATATTGCTTGTCTGAGGGTATAGCTCAGTGGTAGAGCATTTGTATAGTGTGTACCAGGCCTTGGGTTCAATCCCTAGCACTGCAGAAAATAAATACAGGTGAATGCTTAGTGGTAATGGAAGATAGAAAGTGAAGAAACTGAAAAAGTGATAATCCAAGGGATTAAACTGGGAAATATTGGTTAGAAAGAAAAATGAGAAGCAGGGAGGAAGTAAAGGAGGAAACAGAGTTATGACTATGGTTATGAACAGGGAGAAGAGTTCAGGGGAAAATGAGATTCCTATGTGGGTCAAGTTCATCCCTGCAGGCCTGCCAAGAAGAGGTGGAGGGAAGAAAATAGTGGGTGGGTGAACTGGACCTGGAGGGAAAATGCAAGTTAGTAGTGGAAGGCAGGAAAGGGGGGAAAACAAAACAGGATTAACCATTTGAAACCACAACCAGGGCTCAACCCAGTAGCTCTGGCTGAGGGTGTGTCCACAAAGGCAGAACAGGGCAAAGATCACAGGGGGGCCCAGTACAACATTAAAAAGTAGAAGCAGAGGCTGGGAAGGTGGCTCAGTGGTAGAGCGCTTGCCTTGCATGCATGAGCCCCTGGGTTCGATTCTTCAGCACCACATAAGCAAAAAGAAAAAAGCCAGAAGTGGCGCTGTGGCTCAAGTGGTAGAGTGCTAGCCTTGAGCTGAAGAGCTGAGAGACAGCATCCCCAGAGTTCTGGCCCCACCACCGGACCCCCCCAAAAAAGAAAGAAAGTGGAAGGAGAATGAGGATAGTGATCTCAAGAATTTGGCAAAATGATCTTTACAAAAATAAAGGATTACATTGTTGCTAGGAGTGGTGGTACTCACCTCAGCATGGAGGGAAGCTGAGATAGGAGGGTCATGAATTTGAGGATAGCAAACTCAACAAACAAATATACATTGTTAGGCTTAAACTTCAACATAGCTCAACATGAGCAAGTTCTGTTTAAAACAGGATTTTTAAAAATAATTTTTTATTGAATTCCACATATTACACAGTATTGTGGAATGGTGATCATTAAAGTCACAAACACATTTTAACCTTCACAAGGCAAATTGTCATTATCAAGGGCTATAGTTTGTGAATTCTATGAGCTTTGACAATACAACTATTTCTTCCACATCAGGTGATATTTACATTTCTTTCCTTTTGCTTAGTGTAAGCTTAAAACAGGATTTTTTTTAAGTGCCTATAGCGGGGCTTGAGTTTAGGCTTTAGGCTCTGTCCCTTAGATTTTCCCATTCTACTACTTGAGCCACAGTTCCACTTCTGGGTTTTTGGTTGTTAATTGTAGAAAAGAGTCTCATGGGTTTTCCTGCTCAGGCTGGTTTCAA